GCCCTGGCCAGAGTGAGTGTGCTCGGCCACCGCCGAGTTGGCACCTGGAGGACATGGAGGAAAGGCCGGCAAAGACCAATGCCAGTGTGGACGACTCGGCGCCCCCCTCTGTGGCCCAGCTGGCCGAGTGATTCAGGGAGCAGGCAGCCGCTACAAAGGAGACACCAGCCAGTAAACCAACAAGAAGGAAACTGCCCTGCTCCCTCTCTCTGTTCCTCCCCAGGGTAGAACTGGGCCAGAATGGTGAAGAGAAGTCACCGCCCAATGCAAACCAGCCTCCTAAAGTCAAGGTGAAGAGCTCGCCTCTGATCAAGAAGCTCCAGGCCAGTTTAGCCTTTGATCCAGCGACCCTGCTGCCTGGGGCCTCACCCAAGAGTCCCCAACTCAAGGCCATGGTATCACCGTTTCACAGCCAGCTTTCTACCCCCAGCAGCCCTGGCGTGTGGTCTCGGGCCAGCAAGCCAGAGGAGGTGCCCATCAGCTTTGACCAGCCTCCTGAAGGCAGTCATCTGCCCTCTTACAGTAAGGTGCAGACGAGGGGCTCCATAAAAAGGTGCCCTCCCTCCAGGCTATTCAGAAGGTCCCAGTCGGATCGTGGGGACCTGGGGAAGCTCAGGGCCATGGAGTCCTCCCAGGAGAATGGCGCCAAGGAAGAGAATGGTAACGAGGTTTTCCCAGCCAAGAGCAAGACTCCAGGATCCCCTCCTCTGAGGACGCCCAGCAGGACAGAGAAGCAGGAGGAGAAGGGAAGGGCCTTGGGGGTAGCCCAGTAGCATGAAACGGCCATGGGGAACTCCGAGGAGGGGGCCAGCCAGCGTCCAGACCAAGCCTCCAGCCCAGAGGCAGAGGACGGGTGTGGGAGCCCCATGGAGGAGAAACCGGCTGAAGAGCAGATGGAAGAGCCTACAGAGGTGAAGGAGAGGGTGGCCAGTGAAGAAGAAGAGCCCAGACAGAGGAGCCAAGACACAGAGGGGCTGGAGGAGGGAGCTGTCGGGGAGGAGACCCCCCAAAGCTCATCCTGGAGGAGGGGAGGGTGACCACAGTCCTGAGCAGGGGACCGGCAAGGAAAAGCAAGATGGAGGGGGCCGTCCTCGAGCCAGGCTGTGATCCTGGCACTGGCCATGCCCAGCCGGACACTAGCAGTGAGGTCCCCAAGACAGAGGATAACACCCCTGTCCAGGACACTAAAAGGTGAAGAAGATCTCATTGTGCCTAGTGATGAAGCTGCTGGAGCTGTGTCCTTGAAGTAGCCGCAATGATTGTAGTGGCAGCAAAGGAAGCCATCTCAGGAGCAGGATGGCGTGAGGGTCTGGAGTCAGCCTGAGGACACAGGGTGCAATTTCCTGATGTCTGCACCATCAGAGACAGAGATTGGATCTGAGGGCCAAGACTTTTATCAACTTGAGTTTGTGTCACCCGATGGACTTGGTTTAAAACAAAAAAAAAAGAAACTCATTTAAAACAATTTACTATGGTGACAACTCCCTAGGGATACTGGTCAAACTGTGGGGCCCAGATACTGTCCACACCCACCTAACCCTATAGCTGACCTCAGAACTGGACTGGGATTTACCTAATCAGATTGTGTTTGTGTAAGGTGACAGCCTTTTTATTGTTCTTAAGTTTTCATGGTTCTCAAATGTAAGTAAAGACTCATTTCAGGTAGCTAGAAAGAAAGTAATATCACTGGAAATATAAATCCTGTAAGTTACAGAAGACCTTAAATTGTATAGAGACCCTGAGACAACCTTTCAGCTTGGTCAAAATTTGACTGGCCAACCAATTTTGAAAACACTAGGCGAGAAGAGATAATTATTGAAACATTAAAAAATATGTGTCTGTTCCAACAACAAAAAAAAAGATATCATGTCCAAGAAACCATTGCCTAATCTAAGATCACAAAGATTTACACCTATATTTTCTTTCCTTTTTTAAAAAGTTTATTTATTTTATTTATTTATTTTTGGCTGTGTTGAGTCTTTGTTGCTGTGTGCTGGGTTTCTCCAGTTGCAGCGAGCAGGGGCTGCTCTTTGTTGCCGTGCACGTGCTTCTCATTGCAGTGGCTTCTGTTGTTGTGGAGCACAGGCTCTAGTTGCGCGGGCTTCAGTACTTGTGGCACAAGGTCTCAGTAGTTGTGGCTCACGAGTCTAGAACGCAGGCTCAGTAGTTGTGGCACATGGGCTTAGTTGCTCCATGGCATGTGGGATCTTCCCGGACCAGGGCTCGAACCTGTGTCCCCTGCATTGGCAGGCGGATTCTTAACCACTGCACCACCAGGGAAGTCCCTGTATTTTCTTATAAAAGCTTTATAGTTTTAGCTCTTACATTGAGGTCTTTGATCCATTTTGAGTTAATTTTTGTTTATGATATAAGATAGGGGTTCATATTCTTTTTTTTTTTGCATGTGGGTATCTAGTTGTCCCATCACCATTTATTGAAAAGACTATTCTTTCCCAACTGAATGGTTTTGGCACCCTTGTCTAAAATCAGATGACCATAGAGGTATGGGTTTATTCTAAACTCTCAACTGCATTCCACTGATACATATATGTCCTTTCTTATGTCAGTGCTCTGCTGTCTTTATTACTATAGCTTTACAGTACATTTTCAAGTTAGGAAGTGTGAGTTCTCCATATTTTTTTCAATATTCATTTGGTCGTCTTGGGTCCCTTGCATTTCCGTATGCATTTTAGGATCAGCTTGCCTATTTCTGTAAAAAAGGTAGTTCAAGTTTTGCTAGAGATTGCATTGAATTTGTAGATGAATTTGGTGAAGTAGTATATTTTTAAGTATTACAGGTTTCATTTACATAAACTTTGGAAGCATGTAAAGCAGAAAAAAGTTTAATGTTTATGGTGACTTTTAAAAAATTAGTTAAGTAGGGGGCTTCCCTGGTGGCGCAGTGGCTGAGAGTCCGCCTGCCGTTGCAGGGGACGCGGGTTCGTGCCCCGGTCCGGGAAGATCCCACATGCCGCGGAGCGGCTGGGCCCGTGAGCCATGGCCGCTGAGCCTGTGCGTCCGGAGCCTGTGCTCCACAACGGGAGAGGCCACAACAGTGAGAGGCCCGCGTACCGCAAAAAAAAAAAAAAATTAGTAAGTATATGGGTCTTACTTGACCTTCTAGGATCATCTGGCAGAGGAATGAGGGTGAACTCTCAGAGCCGGGGGCACCAGTGTACAACACAGAACAAAGAAAGGTTCTCCTCAGGGTTGCTCAAGACACTCACTGTGGCCAATTCAAGGTGATGGTTTTCCTTCACAGACCACACAGTTTCTGTGTGAGCAGCCTTCCGTCCTTCAGCACTCCTGCTGAGTGCTTCTTTTGTACATCGGAATTTGTACAGCCACATTGATAACAATGGAGCACTTGGCTAGGAATAGATATGATTGCCTTATTGTAATGAATCTGAAAAATGAACATTTGGGAACAGATTTCTTACATATAGCTGTTTGATGTCTTATTTCTTGAAAAGGTTATGAGAGTTTTTAGAGAGTCAAGATTCTCTTGAACACAGAGCTACAAATGGTGGCTGGTTTAGTTGGATTTATATGCTAGCTGGGTTAGGATTGCTATACTTTTAGAGTATGTGTTTGTATCCATAGCACTTTCCTCATCTCTTGCTCTTATAACCTGCCTGCCTTTCTGTGTTCCTAATGCAATTGTAGAACTGTAAACGAGGCATGGTATTTGGCCATTATAAGTGATAAGGTATGATTTATATTTATTTTTATCTATCAAAAAAGGAAAAGGGAGGGCTTCCCTGGTGGCGCAGTGGTTGAGAGTCCGCCTGCTGATTCAGGGGACACGGGTTCGTGCCCCGGGCCGGGAAGATCCCACATGCCGCGGAGCAGCTGGGCCTGTGAGCCATGGCCGCTGAGCCTGCGCATCCGGAGCCTGTGCTCCGCAAGGGGACAGGCCACAACAGTGAGAGGCCCGCGTACCGCAACAAAAAAAGGAAAATGGAAAGAAAGCCTAGTTATCAATAAGTAGACCAAACTATATACAGACATCATGTACATTGAAGTTTAATATAGACTACATGTATCATTCAGTAAAACATATTTGAACTGTTGTTATGTTCGGAAGAATAGATAGTTTCAGGCAAGTGTAAACCTAGTTGTAGCTGTGTAGGAAGAATCACATTACTCTACTATTGTAGAGTAGTTCAGAAACTGCAACCAGAGGTGTTCAGACCTTGCTCTTTGCACCCATCCAGAGCCAGGGGTTCTATAGAAGCTTCCCCAGGGTGTAAGAGCCTGCACACCCTCCGAGGCTTCCTTTCGAACATCTGGAGGGGAAATTGGTACCTGGGTGAGGATGAGTAGCATCCTGTCTACAAACCTGCCAGCCACTTACCTCTCCAGGCTCTGTCTTTCTGTATGCTGCACTTCAGCCCAGCTGGGTATCCTGAACAGACTTTAAGCCATCCTGCTTCAGGGCCTTTGCTGTGGTGGTCCTTTCATCTGGTGAGCCCCAGCCATCCCTTTTGTGCTTATCAAAACCTATCCTACAATCAAGGCCTGCCTCCGAGTAACATTTTCTTCATAACAACCTTCCTGATTTCTCTCAGTCTTTGCTCATCACTCCACTTCCAAATCCCCCTTAAGGTTTTGTGAGTTCTCTACTTGTCAACAGCCCTCACCTAATCTGTGTACTCTTCTAATCCTCTTATGGATTTGTGAGCTCTTTGAGGAGGAAACACAAACATGAGTCCAGGCCCTGCTTGATGTGTCACTTGTCAGCCTGAGTTTTGGAGTGGTTAGTGGGGAATCAAACTTTTTGTTACATTATTTTTGTACTACAACTTGAGGAATTTTCTAACAGTCATCATATCATAGTTGCACTCTCACTGTTGTACCTGCTTTTATAAGGTTTTTATATAGTTTCTTATTCATTTGGAGCCCACCTTTGTGGATAATAGCATTTCAGGAGTTAATGTTCCAGAATTACTCACTGTCTTGTAACTTTCCTAACTCTATCTTATTTTTCCCCCTTACAGGAAATGACTTAGAAGCCTTACAAATACATCTGTGCATTCTTGCTTCAGAATTTACAATTGAGGGCCAACCCAGTCTGGAAGCACCTCTTATTAATGTTATACGGAAACTGCTACCTCAGCAAACAAAAGAAAAGAAGGAGAGGACTTATAATAAATGCCATTTAAAAAAAAATAAAAACTTGCTTTCAGAAAATATTAAAGGAAATTTTTCGCATTGAGAAGACATTTTACAGGTAAATCGATTTGGCAGGCAGGCTCTGTCAAAATTCTGCAGAGATTTGATCTTCCTTACTGAGGACTTAGTGTGAAGTAATTCTGTACTGCTTTTTAAATTGCTGTTGATCAGCTTGTGGGTTTTTGGGTTCTAACTTTTCTGGTATATTGAAGATACATTATATTACATTATATTACATTTTTTTAAGTTAAGTTATTTTTCTGCCATTGTAAATACAAGTATCAAAATATTCTTGCAAAGCAATTCTAGGTGAACATTTTTCTCAGCAAGCATATCTTTTTATTAAGAGAGTAGAATGCTAACATTTCTTATATAGCATTTTGGACACACTTTTATTTTTTGTCAGAGGTCCTGCCTACACTGAAAATATTAATTATATAAACCTGTTGTCCTTTTCACAACTACATTGGATCACATGGTCACCTGCCTCATGGAAATGCCTTTTTTAAAACTTAGATTTGCAGAACTCCACTATTTTTATACCTAGCTACAGTTTTAGGGGGGAAAAAAAGGAATCAGGACCCTGACCCTCTCACGGTCACTGGGACAGTTCCCCTTCCCGCATGTATTGCTGCAGTGCCCAGGACAGTAAAATGGACTACAAGCGGCGCTTCCTGCTTGGCGGGTCCAAGCAGAAGGTGCAGCAGCACCAGCAGTACCCAATGCCTGAGCTTGGCCGAGCACTGAGTGCTCCCCTGGCATCTACGGCCACCACCGCCCCCCTGGGCAGTCTGACTGCTGCAGGCAGCTGCCACCATGCCATGCCCCACTCCACACCCATTGCTGACATCCAGCAGGGCATCTCCAAATACCTGGACGCCCTCAACGTCTTCTGCCGTGCCAGTACTTTCCTCACAGATCTCTTCAGCACTGTGTTCAGGAACTCTCACTATTCCAAGGCAGCCATGCAACTCAAAGATGTGCAGGAGCATGTCATGGAAGCAGCCAGTCGGCTGACTTCAGCCATAAAGCCTGAGATCGCCAAGATGCTGATGGAACTTAGTGCCGGGGCTGCAAACTTTACAGATCAGAAGGAATTCAGTCTCCAAGACATTGAGGTAGAGTATCTTCTGTGTCATACTTGGGTAGGAAAATGTATTCCAGAGGTAAGTGAGAATGTTTGTCTTAGTTTTTTCTCAAATCACTGAAATGATGGTCTTCGTCCTCTTTCCATTGGTATCCTGTCCTTGTAAAAAATTTTTGCATGCCACGTTCTGAATTGCTTTCATTTCAAATTAAGTAGGATAGAAGATTATTAAACAAATCAGCCTATGTTTTATGTTCTTTAAATTTTCAAGTTGAAACTTAATTTCCAAATAACATACTGTTAAAGTACATAGTAGGGACTGAGAATTCTAAATATGATTATGAAGATTTCTTTGTGAATTGTCATTATATAGAACCATTGGTTTAATGTAGAAAGTTCTACACATGTTTACAGGAGAAGTTATTTTTTTCAGTTCTAAATTTACATCTATTTACATTTGGATGCATTTGATTCTTATTCAGTATGTTTCTTAGGGTCTTTGGTAGTCAAAATGAAATATTCTCCCTTTTTCAGGGCTCTACATTAGAGTGTAAGATTGGAATACAAATTTCATTCAGAATAAACATGATGTTTTTCCTTCCTTCGTTTAGGAAATAATTTATTAAACTTAAATTAGCTTCACTGCTAGATTTTTAAAATTATTTTTACCTGCTCAGAGAGTTCTTCTGAGTTTGATTTTTCCATGTGTCCTTGTACGTTTTAGCAGCACATTAGAGGTTAGGTTTCTGGATGCTAGGAGGGAGAATGTTCCTTTCCCCATCCTGGGGTTGTGTTTGATTTTAGGAAATCACTAGTCTTCTGAACTAAATCTGGTGATTGTGGTAGCTGAATAAGCTAACTTATACTGTTGTGGGTTTAGGGGAAAAAAAAGTTAGGCTATTAAGTATTATGACTCATTTTTTATTGTGTTTAAAAGGCATATCGTGATTTTGAAGGCATTTCCAAGAGGAATTTAAAACTATGTTTGTTTTTATTTATTTATATTTGGCTGCATTGGGTCTTCGTTGCTGCGCGCGGGCTTTCTCTAGTTGCGGTGAGCGGGAGCTACTCTTCATTGCGGTGCTCAGGCTTCTCATTGTGGTGGCTTCTCTTGTTGTGGAGCACGGGCTCTAGGTGCGCAGGCTCAGTAGTTGTGGCTCGCAGGCTCTAGAGTGCAGGCTCGGTAGTTGTGGCGCATGGGTTTAGTTGCTCCGTGGCATGGGGGATCTTCCTCGACCAGTGCTCGAACCCGTGTCGCCTGAATTGGCAGGCGGATTCTTAACCACTGTGCCACCAGGGAAGCCCAGAAACTATTTTTGAAAAGACACAATAGTCTTGGTGTAAATTAGGCATTAGGCATCATCAGACTTTTTCTGTAGAGGGCAAATAGTAAGTAAATTTTAAGCTTCATGGACCACGTGCGTCTCTTTCACATTCTTCTTTGTTTTTTTTAAATAACCCTTTAAGAAGGCGAAAACCAGTTTTACCTTGTAGACCTGTCTGTTGGACTGGATTTGGCCCATGAGTTATAGTTTGCTGAATCTGCTTGTATAAATGTATAATATCCTCCTTGGCTCATTCTATTTTGAACCTATCCAAGTTTATTTTTATTTTCTGATTTTTTTCTATGATCACATCATATATTCAGAGAAATTATGATTTTGAAGTATTTTTTAAATGGCTTGTCATAGTTTAGTTTTTAAATTACACATGTAAATCATACATAAAGCGTATTTTTAAGAAACGTACTTCTCAAAAGAAATTCAAGCAGTGAAACTTAAAACTACTGCTCTACTCTCCCATCCCATTCCTTTTCCCAGAGGAGACCACTGTTAACTGGTTGGTTTGTGCCATTCCAGATTACTGTGTGTATAGGCACAGATGTACAGCTTTGACTTCTGTTTGTTTTATGTGAAGAACCATGTTTAGCCCTCAGGATGCCTGGTCACTGCTGTGCAGAGATGTGGCAGGAGAGCAGTTAGGGCCTCTACCCTCTCAGAATGTGCTGAACAGTATTAGACCCAGACTGTTTCAGTTCCCATCCTGCAATGACACAAGCACCTTTAGCTTTATTTAGAATTTCAGGCAAGAATGGTTTGAAAATGAGGCCAAAGCCTATTATTTTAACCTGAACATTATTGGGCTCTTCTTCAGTCCATGCCTCCAGGTGCTGGAGGAGACAGAGCTAGGCCTCCAGGGCTGTTTGCCCTCCAACCCTGTGGGGCAAGTGCCCTTGTTCCCCAGGTCAGGACAGCTAGAGAAGGATGAACCAACCCTGAGGAGTTGGGTTTAGTAAAACCACTGGGTGCAATAGCACCTACCTTGTCCCTTCTGCTTTCCTGGGACCAGCATGGACCATTTGAGCTGAGAAGGGGAAATATTTCTTATTGCTGTGTTTTGGAATTTTGGCTTGACTTCCCCCATTGAAATGCGATTAGGATAGCTGGAATACTACCATGTTTTTGTATATAATGGACTAAACAGGCTTTCAGAGGCTAAACTGGAAACTAAGTGCTGTTGATGGGTTTTAGAATATATGCGTGTATTCTAGGTTTCAAACTGCTGACTTATAATTAAATCTTAAAATGTGATTGTGAAATGTAGGCCTGCAGACTTAACATTTTGCTCTTTCCACAGAACAGTATTTGTTGTTTCTGGAATTTATGTACTGACGTGGTCTTTCTCTCAGGATATTCACCAACTCAGATGGCATAGCTGGACATTTGTGTTTTTTTTTTCCTGTTGGTTTTTTAAAGATTTTATCAGCAAGGGCCAGAGAAGCTCTTTAGCATTCATCCTTGGGGAAAGAAGTCTGTGGCCTAACACTGATGAACTTGACTGGCTAGACAAGGACCTCTGCTCAAGAGCTTAGCCCAGGACTGCGGTTGAGAAAAGCCCTGAATTCAGTATTCAAACGCTTGACCATTTGAAACCTAAGACAAAGTACCCGTTCCACTGTCCCACCCCTGAAGGTAGCCAAAACATGCTTCTAATGCTCCCTTACTTGCAGCCAGGTTTCGGATATGCTCGTTGATTGACAGATCCTGGTGCCTGTGTCTAGGAACTGCAGTTGCCAACTGTGTGCTCTGGGGCAGGCAGGGTGTACATGAGTCCTGTCCTGTCTGTACTCATCAGTGACTTTGCCCCTTACCCCAGCTGATTCAACCTCATAATCTCTCTGTTAGAGAAATAAGTTTTGAGTAGAAAGTGACTCTGCTTTTTTTTTTATAAAGGTGTTGTATTTATTTTTTAATTATCTACATTTTCTAATATTTATTTTATTTTTTTTTTTTGGCTGCGACGGGTCTTAGCTGCAGCATGCGGGATCTTCTTTGCGGCGTGTGGGTTTCTCTCTAGTTGTGGCGTGCAGGTTTTCTCTCTCTAGTTGTGGCGTGTGGGCTCCAGGGCACGTGGGCTCTAGTTTGCAGCGTGTGGGCTCTCTTGTTGAGGCGCGCGAGCTCAGTAGTTGTGACACACAGGCTTAGTTGCCCCGCAGCATGTGGGATCTTAGTTCCCCAAGCAGGGATCAAACCCGTGTCCCCTGCATTGGAAGGCAGATTCTTTACCACTGGACCACCAGCAAAGCCCCAACTCTGCTTCTTTTTTTTTTTTTTTTTTCCAACTCTGCTTCTTATTGTCTGTATGGCCTTGAGCAAATCTTCTAACATCTCTAAGCCTTAGTCTGTCCATCTATAAAATGGAATTACCACCCACCTTCCAGAGCTCTTGTGACGATCAGAAGCGATTAGCGTGTGTGAAACACTGTACCCAGCTAGTTGTCATCATCATCACTTATTATTATTGCTTCCAACATGGCTTGAAAAGTGTTATTAGTCCTTCTCTGCAGTACAGAGCACAATTATGTACAGAGCCAACAAAAGAGAGAAATATACAGCAGATTAGTCTCACTGGAACCCTTTTAGGTGGAAAAAGTTGCTCCTAGAACATTTGCTCTACTCATTTCTTTGCTGGTTCTTGAGGTGAGCACCTCCCTTTCTCTTCTGTGTTACTTTCTCTTTTGGTGTTGTAAGGTGGCAGCAGTATTACCTTGCCTGATGTAGAAACTGCCAGAACGTTTCCAGCATAAAAGCCCTAGGGGACCTCTTCTAATAGTCACTGCTCTATTTCCCTTGCACCTAGAATGAGGGTACATAGGGAAGGAAGTGGAGTGGGGGGTGTCTTGGAGTCCACTTGCTGTAGCTAGGTATCTTTGAGCAAGCCAATTGATAGTTTAGGTAGGATTTTCCCCACTTTGGATTTATAGAAAATGTATAGTTTACATTGTATATATGAACTGGAATGTTGTCTAAAATGAGAAATATGGTCTTAATCAAGTGCTTCATGGGGATTCCTTTATGTAAGTCTCGAACTGCCAGTCCAGCCAAAGAGTGAACTCAAAATATGGTTTCCCATATTGAATTTGTTCATTATACAAAGCTTTTACACCCCACGACATTTTTTAGAGGTAGACCATACGGAACCTGCTGTTTCTATCTTTTCTTTTCAAGTCTAGGGGCATCTCCATTGGTGTGTTACTTCTAATGTTCCTGTAAAATGCCGGGCTACATGAATTGAGTGGCTGTGAGTTCTCTTTGATTTTATCTACTTCAATTTTATTTTTCCTAGAAATCTGGTATCCTAACTAAGGATCATTTGCAAGTAAAACATGTAGTTCATATTAAAGAAGTATAGACAACCCCATAATTAGGTTTTCTATTTATTAGAAAGTCAAAGATGTCAACTTCTTTTTATAAACATCTATCACGTGTCTTAAATAAAATTACTTTTCAGTGAAAATGTAAATAAAAGAATCAAATTGACTTGTGGTTCATGCGTTCATTCCACAGATATTTATTGCACACTTTGTGCCAGGGACTGTTCCAGGCACAGAGGATACAGTGGTGAGCAAGACAGAAATTCCTCCCTTCACGTAGATAGATGAGGGCTGTGATCTAATTAGATAAGATAGTTAGAAAAGGCATCACTGAGAACATGATATGTGAGTAAAGAACTGAAGGAGTTGAAGGAGTA